AGTAAAGTAGAAGAGGCTATTGCTCAACAAACTGTTTCCTTTATGGACTACAATGAGCCTTTACAGTTTCTCATTTTTAATACAAAGCTTTGCCCTACAGCAGTGTTCTGACAACAAGCTCCCCTCATGTGGGTCCATTTACCAGTCTTTCCAAAAAGAACACTTTTGCCTTATTTCCAAGCTGTCTCAGACCTAATAATCCAGGGTAGAAAGCAGGGAAAATGTTACTTTGGCAAAGAACCAGACATTATCATTCAACCTTTTACAAAAGACCAAATAGATTGGCTACTTCAGAGTACTGAAGTGTGGCCTATTGCCTTAGCTTCCTATTCAGGGACTATTGACAATCATTACCCTCCAAATAAGCTAGTTGACTTTACTAATCGTCACTCATTTATATTCCCTAAAGTCACAGCTTCACAACCCCTTCCGGGTGCCCTGGTTTTATTCACTGATGGCTCATCCTCTGGAAGAGCTGCTTATGTATCTCAAGACAATGTTTCTACCCTCCAGGCAGATACTTCCTCTGCACAATTAGCAGAGTTAGAAGCTATTCTTGCAGCTTTTGCTGCTTACTCTGACCAACCATTTAATTTGTATACTGACAGTGCTTACCTTGCTCAGTCTGTTCCATTATTAGAGACTGTTGCTATTATATGTCATGCTTCCCCAGCTGCAAATCTGTTCAAACAATTACAATGCTTCATACGGCTTCGCCGTCATAAGTTCTTTATCGGTCATCTGCAAGCTCATTCCAACCTCCCAGGGCCTCTTGCCCAAAAAAATCATTTGGCTGATGTTGCTATACAAGCACAGGTTTTTATGGCTCAGGACTCCAAGGTGCCTGAGGCTCAACAAGCCCACCAGCTACATCACCTCAATGCTCACACCCTCCGCCTTCTCTACAAAATTACCCGTGAACAAGCCAGACAAATTGTAAAAAATTGCCCATCTTGTGCTATCCACTCACCTGTTCAACACCTAGGAGTCAACCCTAGAGGTTTAATTCCTAATGCCTTATGGCAAATGGATGTTACCCATTTCAATGAGTTTGGCAATCTAAAATATGTACATGTCATCATTGACACTTATAGTGGCTTCATTTTTGCCACTCTCCAGACTGGAGAAGCTGCTAAACACATTATAGCCCATATGCTGTCAGCCTTCTCAGTTCTGGGATGTCCTCAACAGCTTAAGACCGATAATGGCCCTGGCTATACCAGCACCTCCTTTGCTCAATTTTGTAAAAGCCTTAATATCCTCCACACTACAGGTATACCTTACAATCCTCAGGGACAAGGCATTGTTGAACGTGCGCATCGTTCTCTTAAATTCACCATAGATAAAATAAAAAGAGAGACATGGTACCCCACCCAGGGGTCCCCTAAAAATGTCCTTTCACATGCTCTTTTTATTTTAAGTTTTCTGACCCTGGATGCTTCAGGCTGCTCCGCAGCATCTCAGTTTTGACATACTCAGACTCAAACACGGTTTACATCTGTTTTATGGAGAGACCCACTAACCAATGTGTGAAATGGCCCTGATCCAGTCCTTATCTGGGGACGAGGTTCAGTGTGTGTTTACTCTCAACAAGATAGAGAAGCTAGATGGCTACCTGAACGCCTCGTAAAGCAAGTAGACAGTTCTTCAAAGACCCCATGTAACGCCCAGGAATAATGTTATTTCCTGAGACACAATCCCCTGTGTTCTCTTACAGGTGACACATCTCCCTGGAGCCTTATGCTGCTTAACCAGCCTTCTTGAGCCACACCACACCCATGGTGGATTTTGACCCCTGCCAAACAAACTGCAACTGCTGACAGCCATACACAAAACCCCATGACTGCGGAAGAGGCTCTTCTCGGTCTGAAAAAACATACGCCAGCCAAATAGACTGCATCCAATGTTATACAAGGCATGCTCCAAGACACAGGAGAATGACTTCATACAGAGACACCAACAAATGGCTGTCAACCCCTTCTCCTTGATTTTGGGGGGGGGGAGTTTTTCCTTTACCTAGTCCCACTTTTGGGTCCCCTAGCTGACCTATTGTTTCTCATTTCTGTGAGTCTTGTATTTTTCAGAGGATTATGATGTTCATTAATAACCGGATAGACGCATTTATGGCAAAGCCCATTCAGGTACACTACCATCAGCTGGAGATGACAGATCAACAAACCTACAGGGAAGGAATTCCCACGAGTGGCCCATATGATGATGCGGCCTGACTGCCCTGGGGCAATGGACAGACAGTCAGAGACGGACAACTAGGACATGCATGTTAATTCCAACGGCCACCTAAGACAGGCACAGGACCAACTGCTGTTCTGCAAGCCCATGACGGGTAAGGCCTGGTTGGGTTCATGCAATGAGGTCCTTGACCTAAGACAGACGCTGTCCTCACAGGGCCTGCCATACTCTTAATTAAATAATATAAAAAGGGAGGAGATGTAGGGAGCCGAGTGACAGGCACTGCTGCCTAGATGTCTCTCTCTCTCTCTCCTATGGGCACTGCGTCTGCCTACATTAACCATAATCCTCTTCTGCTTACGTCACTTATCCGGATGTGATGGTAACCCTGTTGTATTCATCTGTTTAACCTCTTCCTGTCCCAGCTTCCGCCCTTAGTCTATAAAAGGTGTGATTATTTTCTCAATAAACCGGAGGCTTGATTGGGTTAACATCAACTTGCCTTCGTCTCTTTTTGTCTCCCCCATGTCTTTTATTTAATCCCCGTTTCTCCTCCAGGAGTTCCGAACTTGTTGATCTGCAGGCCGGATCATCATAGAATGCTTTAAAGGAGGAAGTATTTCCCAACTTATCCTTTGAGGCTAGTATTACTCAGTTTTTGTTGTTGGAGGGTGTGTGTGTGTGTGTGTGTGTGTGTGTGTCTTTTTGATACAGGGTCTCGTCTCGCTATGCAGTTCAGGCTGGCTTTAAGCTCATTTTGTAGCCCAGGCTGGTCTCTAACTCACAACAATCCTCTTGCCTCAGCCTCCTGAGTGCTGGGATAACAGTCGTATGCCACCACACTCAGCTACTGTTTTAAAAAATGCAGACCTGGGGGCTGGGGATTTAGCTCAGCAGCGTAAGCGCCTGCCTTGTAAGCAGGCAGTCGTGAGTTCAAATCCCCGGTACCGATAAAAAGGAAAAAGACAACAACAACAAAAAAAACAGCAGACATATTTATTGGTGGTAGCATAGGTCTGTAATCTCAGCACTTGAAAGGCTGAGGCAGGACTGCTATCAGTTTGAACAGCCTCAACTACATAGTGAGCTCAAATCCAGCATGAACTGTACAGCAAGGTTCTGCTTTTCAAAAAGACAAAAAGCTTCCAGAAAATTAAACTATCGACCAATGTCCCAGAAAAATTGATGCAAAAACTCTTAAAATCTTAACAGATTTAGTCTAGCAACATAAAAAAAGAATACACAACGATCAAGTGGGAATTATCCTGAGAATACAAGGTAAATCAGCATTTGAAAACCAGTCAATGGAGCTCAGCATGCTGTGGAGAATCACGGTTATTTCACCAGTGTTCCTATAGAGCCAATAGTACAGCTTCAAGTTTCCACCTTGCAAGCTACTCACAAAAATTATGCATACACTCTTAGGTGATCTAATTGCTTAACACATGTTAATATCATCTTATCTCTATTCCATTTATATGTATATTTCTGGTCCTCTAGACCACTAACTAGTCAGTCTTCACATATTTGTTAGTTTTACCCCGAAGGACTGCTTCTTGCAATCCCATGGGCTCAGGACCCTGTCAAACAAAAACGTTATAGCCTTCAGACAGTACCAGTTTTCCTTAAAACTAAGTGGATGGATCGTAGAACCACTGTGATCTGACAGAAGTGTTCCTGAGATAGTGCTGAAAGATGCCCTCAGTACATTAAAATCAAATTTTAAAAACCTCAGCATTTCACCCTCAGGGAGCGGTCCTCTCTTGGACTCATCTGCTGTCCTCTTGCGGTGTTATCAGTCCTTTTTCTATATTCTTCAATTACTGGTAAATTCTTTTTACCACCTGCAGTACTAGTCCTACATGCATGGTGCACCACATGTCATTTCAACAAATCTAAAGAAGAAACTGATAATTATCTTAAGGGATACAGAAATAGCATTAGGAAAAATTAAGACAACGTTCATGATGAAAACTCATCAAATACAAAATAAAGGAAAGCATCCATAATATGGGGGCATCTACAAAAAAAATCACAATCAATATCACACTTAGTGGTAAAAGATTGAATGTTTTCTCCCTAATAAAATAAAGCAAGGAAATCTGGTTTTACCACTCAATACTGCATTGGAGATTTTTGTTAGTGCAATAAGAAAACCAAATTGGAAAGGAAGAAATAAGCCCATAGGACCTGCCAAGAGAATTTCCAAAAACAATAAATGACTTTAATTAGAATATAAGATACAAGACCTACATAGAATTGGAGAGAATCTAAAGAGAAGAAATTATGTTTTAAAATGCTCATTAGCCAGCTGTGGAAACCGCTGGCTTGACCCCTCTGCCCTCCCATCTTGCCGGCTAAGGACCAAAGGTTGCACTCAGAAAACAAGGGTCACCCGGCTTTGGAGTTACCCCTTCTTGATTTTGCTCAGTGTGAGCTATTTGGTCAAAGCATGGAGGACTGGCTCTTTTAAAAGTCCACCACAGCACAACCTACTACCATAAACAACACCGTGGAGAGAAAGAACCCACAGCCACTTAGAAAACTTTGCACTAGTTCGCTCCTGCTTTGCAAGTCTTAGACGTGTTTCCCGCCTGCACCGTCTGATGACGCCACTACTTAAATACTACTATTTTTAGGCGAGGAGAGGTTGACATTGTGTGAAAGAGTCTGGTCAGAAGTTTTTAGGTTTGAGATCTATCCAAATACAAGATTTCTTCTTCTCACTGCTGGCTCAAAGCGAGGGCAATAGAGCAGGAGCCAATCAGCGCTAAAGAGGCGGGCTGTATGAACTATCCAATCACGTGGGCCGAAGTAGGCGGGCTCTTCCGGTGTCATGGCGTGAAAGTGTGAGTCCTGAACGCAGTGCTGAGAGCCTTGCCGCTTGCTAGGACACCTGTGACTTCTGCTGGCTGCAAGCTGCAGGAGAAAGCCTCTGAGACCCTGAAGCCACGCAATGGTGATGTTGTGGGACAGAGACGGGGATGGGATGGAATCGGGAGGAGATTTGAAAGGAAGTGGCCAGAACTAGCTACAGGGAAACTACAACCTCCCTGCTTAGCTCCAGATCCTGAGGTTCTCCTGATCTTTGGTGCTTTTGTTCCTTATTCCCTGTGTTGGGTCAGTGTTCTGGGCTCCCTGACTCCTGTCCCCACCGTGACACTCCCAGTCCACAGTGCTGTCTTGGGTGGCTCCAGGCACAGCATCAGCCACGCCAATCTGGTGAGAGCAGGGAAGGAGTTAGGTTGTGGAGGCGTTGATTCAGCTATGGTGCAGCTGTGATATGCTGAGTCCCTGGTCTCATCCCATTTAGCGGCAGACCTGGAAGATCTGACATTTATAAATGTCTGCGATGCAGGATCTCATACCCATAACTCATCTCAGACCTCTACCTTTTTATGTTCGGCATGAATTACTGAATATCCAATATCCCCATGTTTCAAGAGTCATAATAGATGTTGATATGGGCTATGAGAATGCAAAGAAAGGATTTATATTGCAGATGATGTGACTCAGGGTTGGAGTTCTTGCCAAGCATGTAGTGAAATCCTGGGTTCCATACTCAGCAACCCAGAATTATCACCTTGGTGATTTATGTCAGATCGCTACTCACAGTAATAAAGAACAGAGCTTGTGGCCTCCAACGTTGGGGAACGAAGTCATGAACAAAAGAGAGGATGGTAAGAAAGTTTTCATTGGAAATAAGAATAGTTCCCTGATTCCTTGGAAGCATCTTGAGTGGGTGGCCATGTAGCTGCTCAATCCAGAGCTAATTATAGTAGAGCATGGTAATTGCTCAGTTATTTAATGGTCACCTGTGGCAGGTGACTGTATTTTAAAATGACGATTTGGAACTCAGGCGCTTAAACCGTTCTTCTTGTAAGATTATAGAAAAGTGAGATTTTAGAGAAAAACTGCTTAATTTGCACTTTAAATTCCCGGAAATTCAGAAGCTTAGCGGGAGTGGCAACTCCTTGTAGCAGGAACTGGCTACATTGTATGTTGCCTGAAGAAGTTGACTCTTGGTTCTCTGCCTGTAGTTCACTATTCCTATCTTAATTCATATAAATATGGCTTACTTTCCAACTCCTTCTCAGACTATTTTCCCTGGCTGGGTGCTAGGTACTCATAATGTAACTAAATAAAATATTATTTACAATTAGGCTATTTAAACAAGGCTTTCCATAGAGTTTAGAATGCTGAAAAAATGGAGGGGATGTTAATATATTACCAAGGGAGAGGGAGGAGTTCTTGCTAAAGATAACTTTCTGAAAGGGGTGCCTGTTAAAGCCAAATTGAGAAACATATTGAATTAGAATATCTACATGAGCCTAGACATATGACACTGGTAGTCGTGGAAAGGAAAAGGAGGCTGTCATGTCTGAAATAAATACTGTAATTCTGAGACTGTTTTACACATTGTCTTAAGTTTGAAATGTTGATTGAAATGGATTTAAGTATAAAACAAGCATTGAAGTAGAGGTAGATCTGCATGGTGAAGGTCTACAGGCTCATGAAGGAAGAAGAATGAAAGAGTTTTTTGAAGGGAGGAACAGAGGGGAGTAAAAAGGAGATGAAAGAGCCAGGCTTGTTGGAGGGTGATGAAATCAGCAGCTACAACCGTAAAGGTCAGATTGTTGGTGTGAGGGTAGTTGAAGGATTGTGAGCTGCCTGGCCTAAAGAAAGGAGGGGGACAGTGACAGATACTGAAAATATGTCTTCTGTTATTCTTAATCAGTTTGTCTAGGTATTTGTAAGGCAAAATTGGAAATTAGAAATCTGGTCTTCTAGATTTCAAAATAGGGTGGGCATCATCATTGAATGGGAAGGGTTTTTTTATGGACACAAAAGATATCAGATGTTTTTGATTGTATGGGGACTGAACCCAGGAATTTTGCTCCAGGCCACACCTCCCTCAATCCAATTAAAACAATTCTTTTGAGACCAGTCTTAATAAATTGCCCAGCCTGGGGGAACTTTTGCTGCTGTTTCCACCTCTCTGAATGTTGAGATGACTAATGTGGGGTATTTAGGTGGCATCAAGGGTTCTGTATGACTTACTAAGATTTCAGTGGTTGGATAAAGGAAACATCAGTGAGGTGTGGTGTGGTGCATACCTTTAATTCCAGCCACTGTGGGCCTGGACATTTGGACAAGTTCCTATTGTAGTATGAAATGTTTTGAGATGTACCTCAGTCTAACTTAGCTACTACACATGAGGCCCTGAGTTAAATCTTAACTACTGAAGGGTGAAAAAAAAGAAATGTTGTTTAGTGGAAACCTTTCAGTTTTTTAGTTAATTTACTTTTCTCACTAGTGTTATATAATAGAATACTTGCTCACAATGGTGGACAGCAGTAATGAGTCACTGCTCTGCCACGGGACACCGAGGGTGAACAGCCAAAGGTTTACAGTGTACTATATTTTATAAAGTTCATAGGGCTGGGGATTCAGCTCAGCGGTGTAAGCGCTTGCCTGGCAAGCGTGAGGTTGCGAGTTTGATTCCAGGTACCAAAAACAAAAAAACACTCCTGTAAAGTATGGCTGGGGATTTAGCTCAACAGCATAAATGCCTGCCTGGCCAAGAGCTAGTCTTGTGTTCGTTCCCCGGTACCAAAATAAATAAAAGTTCATGTGGTAGTATTTTGTTACTTTTGTATTGTAAAGCATATATTTTCCCAAAGAGAGATCAAGGCAAGTGTGTTGAGCAGGTTTAAAAGATTGACAATGATATATGATCAATTAAGTATGTTCTGTGCATTTTCCTTCCTTTCTTTTTTTTTTTTTTCCTGAGAGAGAGTCTTGCTCTGCAGTGCAGGCTGGGCTTGAGCTTGAACCCACTTTGTAGCCCAGGCTGGCCTTGAACTCACTACCATCTCTTGCTTTAGCCTCCCAATTTTTGGGATTACAGGTATGTATAGAAAGCCTTTCCTGGTCCTCATCATGGTCCAGGAAGTTTATATTTTTAATCCCATGGAAAAGTTATTGGAATGCCAAGAAATGAATTCCAATCTACCATTCCCATGGCAAGAATAAAGACCTTAAGAAATATTTATAATTATCAGGAGCCAAGGGGATCCTGACCAGCAGAGGTGATAGTTAACTGGGACAAAGGCCTTGATCCAGGGTAGACCCGGATTTTTTTAATTTGTGAAGAAGGGAGTAGCTGTGAGAATGGCGGGAATTACTTGAGTACTGGAGCTGGGCTGGTAGGCTGAAATCACCTCTGCAGTATGCAGAGAGCAGGAGATGCAGAAAGACTAATGTGCATAACATAATTGAGGTAGTGTCTGCTTTGGGGTAGATGCCTCACTCTGATGTGTAATCTTGTATGCTCTGCGAAGTCATAGCCTCTTACCTATAGGCTCCATCCCAGCCCACAGCATGGAACACAGCTCTCCGTCCCCTTGGGCTCACACATGTTTTTTGGTAGCTACGGAAGTGGGGTAACACTGCCCTGTCTCCTTGCTTCAAAGATTACACATCTATACCTCTGCTGGACCTATTTATATTACTTAAAGGCAATTGAAGGGACAGAGAAAAATCCTAGCCAGTTTAGTACATGTCAATACGCGGAAATTGGCCAGATTTAACTAAAATGGAGATAATTGCTTTTCTTTCAAGAAGAGTCATCCAGGTGGTCCTCCACAGATGTATACCAACCTGACCAAGGTTTTCTTACATGTTTTTTTCCATATTTTACTATCATAGTTTGTATATTTTTTAATCTACCAAGAATATACATTTGAATGTTTGTGATGTGAACATCAGATTCAATTTGCACAATTTATCAGCATAAACGAGTGATGAATTACATTCTAGACTTGATTTATATTGCAAGCCTTATCAGATCTCAGTCTGTTTAAAGCAAATGTACTACGTGGTACTTGTTATAAATTCAGTGTGTTCACAGGTTGCTCAGTTTCAGGTGTGAGTGATTAACTGGGTAGCATGTCCCAAATAGTGGACAAGGATATGTTTCTCTTCTGTATTTGTTTTTATTGGAGATTCGATAAATGTAACACTTTCCTGTGTTTTTCAAAAAGAATTCTAGGACTGGGGATTTGGCTCAGTGGCATAAGCATCTGTCTGGCAAGTGCAAGGTCTAATAGATGTTTGTTAAATTTAGTTTGTTTTACTGGTATGCATATAGCTGCATTAAGTGTATAATTTTTAAGACTTCCTGGCATAATTCATCAAATCTGGGTCTGTACATTATTCTCCTGATATTCAAATTTGTATGTATGATTTTTCTCTTTGGAGATATATTGTTTTAAAGAATTTAGTCAATATAATGTACAACAATTTTAAAGCAATTTGTAAATATGGTGGACTGTGAAATCATTTCTAGATGTCAGTAAGATGCTTGCTTATTGTGATAAGTGAGGAGGCATTTTCATTAACAAATAATACACTGGCAAAGACTGAGTGAAGAACCAAATGGGAATGTCTAGTCGATTCCTTTCAAGGCAGATTTCAGATGTATTTGCAAAAATCTTAAACAAGTTCAACCATATATATATATATATAATTTAGTATATATTTATGTATAATTTTAATATATAATTTCTTAAATTTTAAAATGAAAATGATACAAAATTTCAAAGCAATAATAGGGGTTTAGTATTGATTAATATATTGGATATTGTTATATTCAGAGTAGTTCAGATAACAAGATATAGGCATAAAAATGATCAATCGAACAAAGAAAGCACAAACTGTTCTTTTTGATGAACAGATTAGTAGTACAGTTGTCTTTTGTGTGTGTGTGTATATATATAGTCTTTTCCCGTCTTTCCTTTCTCCTATCCCAGTTCTTTCCTTTTGAGCCAGTTTCTTTCCCTTTCCCCTTTACAATATCTATTGTACATTTTGGATCTTATTTACTGTTTCAGTTTTTTACACTACAGAAATGGTATGATATTTACACATGAGTCTGATTTATGGTCTCAGCTTGCA